AGGATGGTGTCCAACTGCCTTCTGTGGTAAAAAGTGAGAGGTACTTCTGAAGGCTCACTCTTTGAGAAAAACATAAGGAAACCTCCTCAAGAGATACTTGTCTCTGTCCATTGACTAAACTAGGAACCTGGATAAATAGCCTGGGACAGAGGCCTGTTTTCTGGATGGATGCGTTTCATGATGAGAGAGCTTTGCCAAGGTGACTGGCTTTAGAAAAGCCTGTGATGCTGTCTTCTGTTTTCAAATATGTCTGTTAGAAGCTGCAGGAGAAAGACGTCTGGTGTGTTTGAGGAAATCAAAGTCTGGGTTTTTTGTTTCTTCTGGGGAGACTAAAAGGGACTGAAAAGATTTTAGACCTCAAGTTTTTTTATTATGTTGCCTATAGCTAAGGTTCTTGATCCCAGGACCCGTTCCAAATGGGAACACAAGGAGAGAATTAAATTAAAAATATGACTGTGTATATTGTTTTAAAATTTTTATCTAGTACTGAAACGAATACTGGAACTAAAGTAGTGTAACACAGAAATCATAAATGCAGGTATTGTCTTCCCATGTTGCACACAGAAGGGTATTCACAATCTCAAAGCTGTTTGACTGATTAAGAGATACCTTTGTGAAGTATTACTGTTTCATTGTGTTCTACTGCTCATTAAACCGAGGTGTAGACAGATTAAGTAACAAACTCATGTTCAGCTGTGTTTGACTATAGAAATGAGCCTAACATAGGTGTCTGGCTTCCTTCCTCTTCTGTTTGCCTATGTATTGTCAGAAAGGTGGTTTACACAATGAATGTTCTAATAACATGAAGTACTTTTATAATTTTTGATTCCTGTAACTTCATTTTTTTTTCTCCTTTTTCCTGTTTTTAGGAAAAAGATATTAACTCCCTCTATGATGTCAAGATGTATGTGGAACCCAGTGAAATCACCCCTACAGTGGTATGTTTAGAGAGAGATATTTACACTTACTGTAGACTTCTGAAAATGATGAGGCTCACTTGTTGATTTCCCATTAGCAGTAATGAAAAGGATAATCAAAAGCATTAGACTGCTTGATTTATGGAGGACTGGACAGCAGAACCTTAAAGAGTGTGACTTTTTTCTAGCATCTCTTTAAAATCTGTACCCACATGTTTTCTTGTGTGCAAATCCTGTACTGATTCATCCATACTGGGAATTAGGGCACTTTTTGTTGTTGAGTCTTTGGAAGCAATTTGATTTGGCATGCGTGCTTATGCAGATGTGCCCCTAAATTAAACAATCTATGAGAAGATTCTATTTGATAAGACCAAGTCTTCACAGAAAGAAAGTACAACATGTAAATCCCAAGTGTGTGTGTGTCTCTGTGTTTATGAGCACTGATATTTGTCCGTGCACAAAATTATCGCAGTTCCATTAGCAAACATGACTTGCATGCACAAATAGGCACAGAGTTTATTTATGTGCTTTCTATATGAAAATGGTGTCTTTGGTTTATTAATGAGTTACTGAAGTTTGTCTTCTTTTAAGATATATATAATGTTTTAAAAACAAGTGGCACAGCAAACATCTACTTATCTCCAATTCTTGTTAGGGCCTGCCTACTAAACTCTCATAAAGGTTCACCTACTTGTAAATTTTGTGGCTGTAATTCTTTTTAGAATTCTTTTTAGAAGAATTTGGCTAGTAGTAAATTCAAGATAAAGAAATGCCTGTCCTGCTAAAACTGGGTGTCTTCCTAAAGGGAATGTGACCAGCAGGGTGGCTGATGTGAAGTGAAGGCTTTGTAGGCATCTAAGCTTACAGACTCCAACTGGGTATGAATACATGTAATGAGATATTTCACTGTGTGGTTTTCTTTTTTTTTTTTCCTCTACCATAATTCTGTTGTGGCACTCAAGAAAAAGAAAGATTCTTTTTTTTCTTATTTTTTCTTATTTCCAAGCTCATACTTGAATAGCAGTGAACTAGCGTCACTTGCTTCCACCCATAGATGTCGCTCTGGAACTTCAGTATTATGTTTTCTCAGCTTTATAACAAAAAAAGGGATCTGATCCCCCCTCCTTTTTTTTTTTTTTAAGATTGCATTATTGATCATTTTATGACCCATCCCCCTAGATGACCCTTTTGCTCTGTTTCTCTTAAAGCCTCAGAGAACAGTGAAAGCCTTGTATGACTACAGAGCCAAAAGAAGTGATGAATTGAGCTTCTCTCGAGGAGCTTTAATTCATAATGTCACAAAGGAAACTGGAGGCTGGTAAGGACAAAGATTCCTCGTAGGAGAACTTCTGGTGACTTACTAGATGGAGGAAAAAATTGAGCTTTGGGTAGTAGTTTTTAAAAACTTTGCCAATTGTCTGATTGCTGCTTATTAACTGTGTCCTTATAAATCTTAATGCTAGTATATTTAAAAAAGGACCCCAAATCTCCTCATCCTCATGTCTCCTTTCATGTCTTTTCCACTTTTCTATGCTCCAGCAATAACCTCAGCATGCAGAACCTCCATAGCCCCATGTATCCAGTATTTTTCCTTTAGTACATTCATCCTTCCTGAACATTTGTGTATTCTGGGAAGTTGTGCATCTATTACCATTGTTGTCATTGCTCTGCTTCTTTCCTTGCTCTGCAAAGTACTTCTCAGGAATCAAACCCATCTTTTTTAGTTATCTGTACGGTCTCCTTTCATAAGAGGTTTTCTTTCTTAGCTGGCTTGTAAATTGCTTGGAAAGCTTGGGAATCTGATGTTTCCCTGTAGTTTCTGCAGGGTAATCAACCACATAATTGTATTTTTAGTACTGGAGGGGGAAAAAGCCTTGTAAGTCATTAATTGCAGTTTACAGGAACTGTAATCCCTCTGAAATCATCTGTTACTGCAGTTAATGATCACTTTGTTAGAGCTTTTAGCTACTTCATCACTTACATTTTGGTGATAGTCAGCTAGACAAGCTAGTATGTGGTATTAATGACCAATTTATTGAGGATTATTGCTTCATTAATGGCCTATTGAAGCTCTTTAACTATTTTTTTTATATATATATACTTTTCTTTTTAAATTCAGGTGGAAAGGGGATTATGGAGAAAAAGTCCAACACTATTTTCCATCTAATTATGTTGAAGACCTGTCATCTAATAACTCTGCTGAGCTTGAAAGCCAGGTGAGGGTTAAGGTTTGTCTGCTATGTTTCCCTAGAAGATGCTGCCTACTGGAAGTGGATGTCTGGTTTATAGAATTATGGCTCTGCATGCTGTGTCTGAGAGAACACAGAGTAGAGAAATTAATGCATTCTTCACTGTTCCCAGCTGCTGAATGTTTTTGTCAGGAAATCCCTCATAGAAAACTACTTAAGGAGATAGCTGATTTGGTGGGGTTTTAGGAGATAATGATTTTCTGCTAATGAAAATCATAACTGTTTAGATTTTTCAGATAGTCTGCATAAAACAATAATGTGCCTGAAACTTTTAACTAGTTTGCCTGTATAATTACTGCCTTAATATTTGCAAATAAGAAAACTATGTGGCCAAACACCTTACTAGCCATTTCACACTCCATTATTCATTTTTTATGCATAACTAACCCTATACTGTTTGTCAAAAGTGTTTAAAAATATAGTCTAGAGTCTTGGACAAAGATCTCTTCAACAAAATAAACCAAAACTCAATAGTAAGCAGTTCTGACATCTTGGAATTTTAAAAATAAAGTGTTGAATTCTTTTGTTGTTCTGAAGCACTTCCAGTGATTTGTCAGGAGTCTTTGGAGGGAAATACATGTATTAGATTTCTCCCCCAGTCACTGCAACTTTAAGCAGACTTGAAAAATGAGCAGTTGTGTCAAGAAAGAAGCTGCCCTCGTCTTTTTGGCTACTCTCACTATTGAGATTCTTATGTGTTTCTCCAAATGAGAAATACTTGATATGAAACAAGCTTTTAAACATGATAGTGGGCATGCTTTCAGTGAAACTGAGGTTAAACTTAGTGCGTGTTTATTATTTGTTAATGTTCTGTGCATATTCACTCAAGATTTAGAGCCAGATTTAACTGATGTTTTTCAGATTATCGAGGACAATCCATTAGGCTCTCTGTGTCGTGGCATACTGGTACTCAATACGTACAACGTGGGTATGTATTTTTTGATGCTTACACTTTCTGTGTTGAGTAGATTATTTTCTGTTTAGCAAGAAAGGTTTTTTTCAAAAACACGGAACACCTACTTGTATTAATATAGCTAATACAATCAATATGATGAATCTTTATGATACTAACTGTTGCAATAAATCAACAATGACAGGTTAGAAGAACTGTTGGATTTTAGTATAAATTTCTTCCTACTGTGTTGCCTAACAGTGAAAATGCCACAAGGGAAACACAAAAAGCCTTTTGTCTTCATTCTGGAACCTAAGAATCCAGAAGACCCATGTGTTGAGTTTGCAACTGATAAAGTAGAAGAACTTTTTGAATGGTACCAAAGTATCCATGAAATCACTTGGAAAACTGCAGAAGAGGTATTGATAAAAAATATATCCATTGTTGTTCTTTATAATGTACTGATATAAATTTACAATAGGATTTGTCTTTAACTGCCATACACTGCTAAACCGTGCTACCACCTGGTCCTTCACTCTCTTGCATATTACTGTTTTTCTGTTCATTTTATTGTTGCTGTGAATCTTGTTCCCTAAACTCTTTTGCAAATGCTATGTAAATTAGCATTTTATGTAAATTTATGTTAACAGGAGTTTTTCAGCAGACTACTGTCTGTGTTGCACCCTGCATCTCAGTGGAGAAGTATGTTTAATAGTACAAAGTAGATACCATTACAATTTTACATCTGTTTATGCTGGTTCAATCCTAGTGTTAAGCAGAAGAAATTCAGATACCAGACTGTTCTGTTCAGACTCGTGACTGCAGTAGTGAGCATATGTGAAATCTGAACTCCTTTTGCCTAAACTCTTCTTAATCCCATTTACTAACTCTGCTTTCCAGTGAATGCAGTGGCACTCATAGGGAATTGTTTGACTAATACTTTATTTATTTTTAACTAATAGGCACATTCTAGACATTCTTCAGGACTTGCTTTTCTTTTTCTGATTTATTAATTTACCTCCCTGTCCTCTTTTCTAGTATTTAAAAAGTCTTTGACATGACTAAACAGCCCTTACAGATGACTGTGCTTAAACATACTCTTCACTTTTTTGCTTTTATTAACTTTTTATGGTTAAGTGGGTGATGAGAGTGATGGAAAATGTGTTTCAGTATTGTGTTTGCTCATGCTGTTTTTCTGTCATCTGGAGTGGTAATGCTCTGGGGGTTCATCATAATCCTATTTATAGCAGGCATGCTGGTGTCTCAAGCAGAGGACTGCAAATTCAGCTAGGGAAGAAGCAACAGGAGCTATTGACCTATTGTTGGGGGAGGAGAGATGTGGTTCTTATGTCAGCCTTTCATTTAGAAATAAAAATGAGAAAAAGAGAAACATGACCTAGAAGAAGTGTCTCTAAATGGAATGTTTTTTATGGTACATCAATGGCTCTTCAGGAGCTTGGCAGCTTTTTCTCTCTCTGTAGCTTTTCTCCTTCAGTTAGAGAAGTATTAAACAGTCTGTGTTCAAAGATGCTTTAAAGCTAATTTCTGTCAATCAGGAGGCTTTTCTCACAGTGTGGCCTCTAGAAAGTTCACATGATAGACTGCTGCATGGGAAGGGGAAAAAAAATGAGGAAAGGCCCTTTTGCCATTACAGTTAACAGCCTGAATTTTGGGGAAGATAAAAGCATAGTGAGTCAACGCTATGCTACAATACAGTACAGATGTTTTTTGAGTTTATTTGTGGGCTGTGTCCATTATACACAAGAAATAAAACTAAGCTTCACATCACCTCTTTTTAATACTGACACTTGCCATGCTTCTAGGAATGGTTGTTCATTGCTAGCTCTCCTGCTTGGTTATCAGGCCAGGTTGGATGAGGCTTTGAGCCACGTGGTCTGATGACAGGTGTCCCTGCTGATGGCAGGGGGGTTGGAACTAGATGATCTTTAAGGTTCCTTCCAACCTATACCATTCTATGATTCTGTGATCACTAGAGGGTTATATCTAAAGATGAGCTCATGGCACCTAGAAGTGGTCTTTTGCTATTTGGAGCTCTGATTCCTGTTGAGCAACGTCTGGGAAATTGTGGTGGATCACTAAGTACAGTGAGGTTTGTACAGCTTTTTCCCAAGGTCATTTCCAAGTCTAAACGCCATATTCCTCTTTGCTTTTCTCAGACTTCAGTGTATAATCTCTGGTTCAGTGAAACATTCTGGAAACCCAGGTCTCCTTAGCTCTGATTTTCATTCCTCTTCAGTTTGTCATGTTGAGGGAATTCTTTTGGAAGACTTCCTAATTACTGCTGCTTCATAACCTCTTGTACCAAAGCTAATCACTGTTCAGTATGGAACTCTTCTAACATTTTGTCCTGTAATTGCTTCTTCTGTCTGAAAAGCCTCCAGCCCAAATGTCACCACTCAGGATGAGTCTTGCTGATGTCTGCAGTTCCCAATCTCTGGTTGCAAGGGCTGTTGCTCAGCTTCCACAGAGCAGGTGCTTGAGAACATGGAATTAGATAGTGGGTTTATTACTGGTGATGACAATAGGATTGCACATGATTTTCCATACATAACATTATTGGTTTGGTGTGCAAGTAGAGAACTACAGGAATGATGCTCGTAGTGTCTGAAATTAGCTGTTTGGGACTTACTAACAAGAATTAAGTCCTGCTTGGGATTGTAAATAAATAGAGAGACACTTCAGTACCCTTTGCATTTTTTTTGCATGTTTATACGAGATATAAAGTTGAGAACATAACTAAAATCCAGTAAAACCACATTAAAAGAAAAAAAAAATATTGCCAGGATTCTGATTAGAATTGATCAGAGAAGGACTGAAACACTTGCTTAAAAAAAACCCAAACCAATACAACAACCCCCCCCAAAGCCCCACCACCAACTAAAACCCAAGGCTTAGCCTGTTCTCTGAATTGGGTCTTAAAGTACATTACATGTATGCAAGTGTCTAAAGCATCAGGTAGGAATCTGGGCAACAAAGAGTGTGTCTACTTTGTCATTTCATTAGAGTATACCCTGGAGTTACTGTATCATAATACTCAGTGTATTTGTAATGTAAAACCTTGTTACATTTTACAGGAGAACAGGAGGAAATACTGGGAAAAGAATCAATTGATTGCCATTGAATTATCTGATCTGGTAATTTACTGCAAGCCAACAAGCAAAACCAAGGACAATTTAGGTATTTCCTTTAACATTACATTGGGTTTTTACTCTTTCTACTATCTTTACATATGTTAGTTGAAATTTTAGAACTTAAAAGAAAATCTGTCCTTTCTCTGCTGGAAAACAAAGTTCTGCCTCACCCATGCAGTTTTCAGTGGCACTCTGAAGTTGTACAGTAGGGACCTTGATGCTATTCAACTGTCACAAAAAACTGTCAGAAATATTTAACTATTTAACTAGAGACAGCCTCTCATAGGTGTCTTTAATGGGGAAGCTCACTAGTTATGTGTCAATTGACTTTTTTGAGATTAAAAACTGACTGAACGCTTGTGATTTGTTCATAGAAACCATCAAAATGGATCTGTTGTGCGTTCTGTATTTTTACTGTAAGAACCTGTTTGCCATTTATGTAAGCTATTGGGATGGTGCATGGTTTCATAATATAAATGAAAACTGGGGTCTGTGGAAGTGTGAGTGTGGAATCTGACACTGAAAGTTGTACTTCTTATTCCAGTTTTTTGTCATTGCTGCTGGAGAAGCCAGCAAATGTGCCCTTCTTCCTTAAGTTTCTTTGCAAACGTTTTTAATAAGCTGTCAGTGTGGTTAAGACATTATAATTATAGTCATTGTTTGAGGCATGGGCTAACCCTGGCTCACCCTTTCTTCTCTGCATTTAAACCCTGGAAAAGATGTCTCATTTAAATATGTGTTATAGTGGTCAGAAGTGCATTATTAGCAATGATAAGATGAGAACATGACTATAGACTCTTATCTGCCCTCCTGCAAAGCATGTGGCAGGCAGGCAATTTTAACTTTCAGACTCGATGCTCAACCAATTTGCCGTGTCTGCATGAAAACTGTGCCAATTACTGTATTAAAGGACAAAGCAAAACAAAGTAAAACAAAGTGTTAGTAGAAATGCAGTCTAAATGCTTTCTTCTTTTAGTAACCACTCTTCTTCCTCCCTACCCTGTGTAGAAAACCCTGATTTCAAAGAAATCCGTTCTTTTGTGGAAACCAAGGCAGAGAGCATTGTAAAGCAAAAACCACTTGAGTTGTTGAAATACAACATGAAGGGACTGACACGTGTTTACCCTAAAGGACAGAGGGTCGACTCATCCAACTACGACCCATTTCGCCTCTGGCTTTGTGGCTCCCAGATGGTGGCTCTTAACTTCCAAACTCCAGGTAATATTCTCTTTAAAAAAGGATCTAATCCACTTTCCATTTCACCATAAACGAGCCCCTTTCTGGCCCCTCTGCGACTCCAGTCACTGTTGCTGTCCTATTTCTTTGTACTTCCCAGCAAGAAGGGATGTACTTTAGCAAGAACTCAAGTTTGGTATTGAGTGTGTGGATTGCCTGATAGAGCTGGTCCCCAAAAATCAGTCTCCAGAAACCCTGTCTGAGCATAACAAGCCCCAAACTCTGGAAGGTTTATTTCACCTTGATTTCTTTGTGATAAGCAAGCAGAGATATTTACAGTAAGTTGCAGGTGGATGAGCAGTTGTTCAGCCACAGGGAAGGCTGGACTCAATTTTCCAGTAAGGGACAGCTAGCTTATGACACATTGATAGGAAACTAATTGTGAATGGAGATGGGTTTATTGGGATTAAAGTTGGTGAGAAATGGCCTGTCAGGTTCAGTTACCGAAGGGAACAGAGTCTTCCAACTTACCTTTCCAGCTCTTTCTGATAAAGTGGTGACCAGAAAGAATTCCAGAGAGGAGCCATTAGTCTGGTGCTTCCTTAGCTTTATTCAAATGGAGATCTTCTCTTCTGACTCTTTAACTCTCTCCCTAGATAAATACATGCAATTGAACCATGCCTTGTTTTCACTTAATGGACGCACTGGCTACGTTCTGCAGCCAGAAAGCATGCGAAATGAAGAGTATGACCCAATGCCAAATGACTCGAAGAGGAAATTGCAGATGATTATGACAGTGAGGGTAAATCTTTTTTGTAAATTATATTTTTTTTAACAAGTCATAAATATCTATAAAACTAAAAATAAAGCTATTAGGTTTCAGAGCAAGATCTGATAGATTGTCAAAATACTGTTTTTAAATGTCACTGTGTTTGAGAATAAAACTAATTCCACTGGTTCCTGAAAAGAAATACATGTCTTTATCATGCTAATGAAGCACATGCTATAGGTCTGAAAACAAAATCTCAGGATAATTTTATATAAATGCTAATAAAAATTCCAAATGAACTAACCTGCATTTCCAGTCTAATAACTTCTCAATAGAAGGGTCCTATTGGAGACGGATTAGCAGCAGATTAACTAGTTCAGAGATTTCCAGTGTGGAAGAAAGATATTTATAATGAGTTATAGAAACTAAGCAGAAATAATAATAAACAGATCATCATATTTAGTACGCTGTGACTTAATCAGTGTGTCATTCTCATTTTTCATGGAGAGATGGTTTTATCATTTGAAAATTACGCCATGTCGTCTTCTGGTGCCAAACAGGAACTGAACTTGTTTTGCTCTCAGTTGCAATACAGTAAGACATGTCCTTTAAAAAGATGTTTTCTGAGAAGGAAGAAGCACATTAACTGCTTTTCACTACAGTTTAGAGAAGAGGTAAACAGGGGCTGTGATTTTATGCCTTTAAACAAATATGTGATAAAGGCTGAGGAAAGATAACAGAACTTGGGTTACAGGCCTGGTTTGGAACTGGAAAGTTACTGTATGTAATGAATGTCAGCAACAGTATCTTAAAATAAAAATCTCTGGGTTACCCAGACAATGAAATATATTATTATTG